AATGTCGATAGCTTTTTGGAGTTGCGTGGCTATTACAGCAATCACTATAACACCGGCAGCAAGAGTGGGGAAAAAGAACAATGAAACAGCACAGCAGGCCAAAATAAGATCCACGTACTGGAAAAATAAAGGTTTAGCGGAAAAAATTGCCTTAAGATGCATGCATGCATGATAGAGGGTAAAGTAACACTGATAACAAATAGACCATTTGATGAATAGAACTCTCCCCCCGCCCCTAATCCTCTCCCACCCCGATGATACAGTGAGGCAAACGTTTGACTCACGTCAAATGCTTTCCATCCTATCATCAGAAGCGTCATAGTGACATCAGACCAGACTATTGTTACCTGCAAAGATAAAAAGGCTTTGGTTTTTAGGTAGACGGCAATTATTAAACTATGGGATTTAAAAGATTCAAGAGAATAGGATAACAAACAGAAAAATCCGGCATTTTTTCTAGATTTTCATGACCATATTTGATCTTCAGTCGAGCTTGCGTAAAGTGCTTCAGACTCACAATATGCGGTACAATAGCATGGACTGCATCGGACCATGTTGCTGTTCTGGATGCCATTATGACGTATATGACTGGGATTGAGAGGAGGCAAATGGAGGGGATACCCAAGCTCACAATCAAATAACCTAAAGCAGGATACATGCACAGCAATCTCTAATTATGACTCACTCACTTATTCTGAACTGAAGAAAAGGACGCCAAATTCGCCAATGTCCAACGGAAACATGCATGCGTGAGAGGATGACTGGTAAGCTAGAGTTGTTGAATAATTTTAAGTTTCACTATGAATAGATGAGCAAATCAGTACTAAGTAACCGACCATGACATTAGATTCGCAAACATGCCAAACAAAGCATATCTATCATAGGCATCAGCTAAGCTGACAAATGTCATCAACGCAAAGAATCCTGATGTGCCACAGAGCAAGCTGCAGTATGGAATCTTTCGGTTGGCGGCACCAACTGGAAATAGAAAGAAGAAAGTAAAGAGATGAATATTGTTTGTTTGAAGTGAAAATCCATAAATCAAAAAGCATTAGAAGACAGGGGGGTTTATATGCCAAAATACTCTATGAGAATAAACTTCTTATTGGTCATATAACAGAAGCAGTCTCTAATAACGCTGAAATACCATCCAAAGCAATGCCAAAATGCCAGCTTGATCCAGTTAGGGGATTACATATTATATTAGCAGAGAGGTTCCTTACTTCATATATCTGTATTCGCCACAATATCCATTACATTTATAAGGATCCAACTAAAGCTTATTCCTCTGTCTAATCCGCGGTTGCTATTTTGTCCGCAGCACCACAAACACAGCGCAGCGTCCAGCCTCTGGTGACAATATTCTTGGCAATGGCATTATTCCTTATCTTTTAACATTTTCTTCGGACTATTTCTTAAATTAAACCATGACAGCGTAGGAAGAGAGATGATGTCAAACCAAGGTAAAAATTTTAATAAGATCTACTAGGTACTGCTGCGGACAAAACAGCACATGCGGATCAAGTTCAGTTGAAAAGGATATAAACTAGCTATCCAGCACTCATCAAAAAAGAACAGTACTGTCATAAAAGAGCCGAAATAAACAGGGATGACATAATTTTTGGGGAAAAAAGAATTTAAAAGAAAGTTAAGATTCATCGATTTCTGGATACCTCAGAGACTGCTGCTTACTTTTACACACAGTAATTATAAGCAATACCTGATAACACAAATAGCGAAACCGAAACTGCGAAATTAACATAAGTGTCCCAGTTGTTGTCAGTTATGAAGTAAGAGTCCTGCAGCAAAATCTAGTCTTATCAAGATAAATATTTTCTTTGGAAAATTACGAAATAAACCGACGGTATCAGCTTTATCCTGATCATCTTGTCCCTTTTCACTGAACACATCCAAAAGACGTTTCCAAGTCCTCCGCTGGCGCTTGATACTGGACAAAAAAAAAGGATTAGTACCACGTATTAGGTACAAAATGAGCCAGAAATGCTAAGGGTCGCCTTTTATTATGGAACATCCTCAAAGTAAAATACACCATTAAGAAGAAGGAAACATAAGCAGTAAGTACAGGTAAAAAGTACAAGAGAGAAGGAAGGCTGAAAAGTACAAATAAGTGCCATTTCTCTATGGGTGATAATCCAATAACTTACCTGATGAACTGCACTAAACATATGAAAACCAGAGTTTGGACCTGGTGGAAAGGAAATACAGCATAAATTAGCGTCAACCATTGTTGATTAATTTTTTGAAGTAAATACTCCACAAAGCTGTCAAATCTGTTGAGTTTCTGCAATTTTTTAAATATTAAGATGTAAGTTGCATGATGTAGGTATACTTCAAAGGAACAGACTTTGGAAGCCGCACGCTTACAAAATTAGTAATGGGGAGATAGAAAATTAATCACTCAACTGACCGATCTCAGATGTCGCGCTCCTTTTTCTTTGTCAACGAGTGGTTCTATATCGTCGCTTTG